TAAGACAGGGGATTTGGTGTTTGAATGCTTTGCTTTTGCTTCTGTAGGACAATTTGCTCATTCACTAATTATTTATCTTAATCCCAGAGGACAGTTAAGCCAATAATTTCTCTAATCTAGTGGTTACCTGTGAGTGGCTCTCTTCTAGAACTCATTCAGTCTCTTCTGATATGAAAGAAGAAGATGAAATAGAAGGGAAATCGTGTTTAAACATCTGAGGTTTGGAGTCTTTGAAGTGATAGATTGTCAGATAGCTTATTCCTTTGTATATGTGGTGAGATTAGGTCTCATTTTTTTTTTTTTGTATGCAGAGGAGACTTCTGGGAAAACAGAGTCCCTGAAATGAATTGGTTAAAAGATTCTCTGCTACTTTAATTCAATTTTCATTCTTTTCAGGTCTCATATGAGAAGGTTGACTATACCAATGCTCGTGTGGAGTAACTTGAAGACTTTACAGCATGGGCTGGTTCCAAATGTTTCCCCCAGTGGCTGCTTCCCTTGTTAGATTCCCTCCTTTGCGTTACAAAAATATTTCCATAAATCTGCCCCATGTCACAATATGGGAACTGTTTAGTCATTGGGATTATCTGAGAAGAGGGAACTTAGGGAATAGGATATTAGACAATTGAGTTTTGATCAAGGGGATGCCACTGGTAAAGCTCCACAGTGAGATAGTCCCAGGAGTGGGCAGACCCGCAGAGGGCACTGCAGTGAAGGGGGCTTGATATGGATACAAACGGTGCCCTAAGGGTTAAAAAGAATATAAAGAGTTGCTTCTCCAGTACTTTGGAAATCCTGTGACTTGAGGGCGTCTTAAAGTCTCTTCCCTTTATCTTGAAATACTGCAAAACTTCTCCTTATCTTCTAAGCTCCCTTATCCTGTGTTCGTCTCTAATGTTTAACCTGTGTCCATCCTGGGTCCCCCCTGCCCTGTCCTTAAATCTTTAAACCATAAAGAATTCCTTCTGTCTCCCTCATCCTGTCCTGCTTGCTCCATCTGCCTCAAGCACTCTTTTCTACCTCATCAGGATCACTAGGAGCCCCTGTGAGAGTGGAGGGGGGAATTGCGTCACAGTGGAGAGGGGAGGACTCAAAAGGCCACAGAAGAAGACGGAAAGGATACTTGGAGAAGGGGATGACAAACTTCGATGACTCCCCCATCTTGCTGAGGACCGGTCTTGCCCAAAGACGCCAGAGGAGAGATTCTCATGTAAGAATCATACGGGGCCTACATTCAACTTTTCCTTCTCCCAAAGGAAGCAGCGGAAGGGTGGGTTAGATGTATGGGACCAAATTCCAAACCTGTGTCCCTGGAAGGCTGATTGTACAAGGGGGTGTCTGAGTACGCCAGAGGAAAAGACTTGGGGTCTGGGGTCAAAGATTAGGAGAAAGAAACAGGGATCAAATACAGACACAAAGCAATAGTTTATACAACCTAGATAAAAGGAGAAGGAAACGCAACATGCCCAAATGAGCTCAAAATGCGTAAGCATGCTGGATTTGGCCCATTCTTCTAGCCTGTCAAGATTTTTCAATCTTGATTTTGTAGTGCATTGGAAAGAGCCTTTGCTCTGGAGTCAGGGGATTTGGGTGTGAATCCTGTCTCTATGATTTATTACCTTTGTGCCTGACCTTGTGTAAGTCACTTTGCCTTTATGGGTCTCGGTTAATTCGACCATAAAATGATAGGGCTGAACTAAATGATTTCTAAATTTCCTTTCAACTCCAGGCCTATTATTCTATTATCCTCTGATCCTTCGGCAGTAGCACAGCCCTGGGGAGCCTCTTCTCCTGGTGCTACCTGTCAATTCAATTCAATGCAGTAAACATTTATGGAGTTCTTATTCTATGCAGAATCATGCGTCTGGTTTTGGGGGAGTTACGGTCCCTTCCCTCATGGAGCTAGAAATCTAGCACAGGGACAACACAAACACAAATGACTGTTATACAAAATAGACCATGATAAGTGCACCAGAAGGGTATGGACCGAGACCTAAAGCCTGAAGAGGAATGGCACTTGGAATGGTGGGTGGCATAGTGAAGACAGGGCCGGACTTGGAGCCAGAAAGATATTAGATTGTGAATTCCTTGTTAGATTGTAAGCTCCTGGAGGGCAGGAGTCTTTTGCCTCTTTTTGTATTCTCAGCACTTAGCATTGTGCCTGGCACACTGTAGGCACTTAATAAATGTTTATTGAATTGAATCAAATTGCAAAGAGCTGAATTCAAATCCTGCCTTGGGAAACTTACCAACTGTATGACCCTGGGAAAGTCACTAAGCTTCTCTCAGTCTTGGTTTCTTTATCTGTAAAATGGGCACAGTAATAGTGCCAATCTCCTAGGGTGGCTGTGAAGGTTGAATGAGACAATACAAACAAAATGCTTTGCAAACCTTAAAGTACTTTATAAATGTTAGCTTTTATTATTATTTACAACTGTAGAAATTTAGGAAGGCTTCATGGGAGAGTTAGTATTTGCCTGGGTCTTGAAGGTTGGTTTGGATTTCTGTAGGTAGAGATGATAGAAGGCACTGCAAGAAAAAAAAGGGAATTATTTCTGTGTATACATTTCATCTCTCCAGGTAGGCTGCAGACCCTGTTGTGGGTGGGAACCATATCTTATATTTCTTTTGTACTCTTATAGTACCTAAAAGTAGACAGCTAGGGGGTGCAGTGTATAGAGTGTGGAACCTGGAATCAGTGAGACTTGAGCTCAAATCCTGTCTCAGACACTTACTAGTTGTGTGATCCTGAACAAGTTATATGTCTCCCACCCTCAGTTTCCTGGTCTGTAAAATGTGGTTAATAATGGCACTTACCTACGAAGGTTGTTATGAATTAACATATATAGAACACTTTGCAAACCTTAAAACACTATGTAAGAGCTAGCTATTATTGATATTACTAGTATTGAATACACAGTGCTGTTCAGTAAGTAATTACTTAATGATAGACTGAGTTATTGATTGAAATAAATTGCTCACTCACCTCCACTGTAGCTCAGAAAGTGCTCTGTGTGGCGATTGCAAAGTGCATTATTAATCTCTTGGATAGCAATGGAGCAAAGACCTTGTTGGTGTGCTCTGGAGAAGCCGGTGTGAGTGTTCTCTATGTACACATAAGAGAGTCCCCTTGTAGCAATGCAATCCTGGAGCCTACCTACTCACAGCTCCCACCTAACTCCAATAGATCACGCTAACATGGAGGCATGACATACAGTAAGGAAGGGGGGAGGGACTTTTTGAACCTTCATGATTATGACTACCTTCACCAGTCCTTCTGATTGGCTTGTTGTACAATGTCTCAACAATGCCAACTTGGCCTTTGCTAATTAAGCAGTGCCATGGTCCTAAGTATTGATATGTTTAGTCTTAAGCTATCGAGAGACATTGAGGCCTAGTAGATGTCATTCTAGTTTTGGAGTCAAGAAGACCTACTTCCAAATCCCACACCTATGACTCATTAGCTATGTGACCTTGAACAAGTTGCTGCCCTTCTCTGAGTCTCAGTTGCCTTAGCTTTAAAATGGGGATTGTAGTATTAGCCTCGCAAGGCTGCGGGAAGATCAAATGAAATAATGCACGTAAAGCACTTTGCCGGCTTTATGTGTCAGCTGTTATTATTGTCTATAAAAGCACCCAGAGTTTCATTTTGATGGATAAAAATCAGTGATTTACATTTAATCAACAGTGTTTGAATACTTGATAAGTACCCAGTCCCTCTCTAAAAAAAAACAAAAACAAAAACACACAACCGACAAAACTCTCCTAATGGAGAGGCTTAATGATTCCAATATTCCTTAGTACTTATATGTTTCTTTTTTATCTACAATGCTCTTTAGAATCTCTGTTCTATACAACAGGATAGAAATGTGCCCATTTTTCAGAATAAAAAATAAAGCACGAAAAAGTGGCTTTTGAGGGCTAAGACTACACTAGAACATTTGGGACAATTGCTCCATCTGGGAATACCTTGTTCCCAACTCAAAATCCTCCACCAGTCTTATTACCTCCAGTTGCTTCCATTTTGAAGTGTCCATAGCAGTTTCTGGGAACTCATTAATATGTTTCTACATATTTCTCTACTGGTTCTACAAAATGACTCCATTATAATATAAAAACCAGACTGACAAAGTATTTGAATTCAGGACTTTCTGACTCAAGGCCTAGCACTCTATCCACATTATTGTTGTTATTTTCATCATCATCATCATTATCATCATCATTTAGCTTCATGAGTTGTTGCAACAAAAATTAATAATCTCTTGGTGGACAGATCTTGTGATGAACCTTTCCAAACTTAGCCAGGCTGGTCCTCAGATACCATACAAATAGTCTGTCTATAGATCCCTACTCAAAGCTTTTCCAGCTTGGAAGGACCTCTGAGAAGCAGAAGGTGCACTGGCCTTGAAGTAAGGAATATATGGGTTCAAATCCAGCTCTGATACTCTATAGCTATGTGATTTTAGGAAAGTCTTAACTTCTCTAGGCTTCATTTTTCTCATGGTAAAGTGAGAGGGTTGGAAGAGATGGCCTCTGCGCTTCCTTACAGCTCAAAATCTATGTTTCTTTGAGCTTGTACTCTACCTGAATGGTCTTTGAGAACCCACAGTCACTTTCACATTACATTAAAAACCTCAGACTGGAACTTTTGCTTGGAATTTTACTCTTTCAGCAAAATTGCTAGACAGTGCAAGTAGCAGTTTGACAATGGGATCCACGTTAGTGGTTTATTTCTGAGCTGTTATAACAGCCGTCAAATCCTACTGCGAGACCACATTTTGACCAGTTTGATGTTGCCAAGCTTGTTGCTTAGCTGATTGAGTTGTCTGCTTTAGAGTTCTTTGCTTTCTCTTGTTCTAGGGTTTGTTTTTTTTTTTGTCCAAGTAAAGGAAACAGATTTAAATTCAAGCCTGGGGCAATAAACAGACAGGGATATACTTTAGGCAAATTGAACTTTGGGAATTTTTCCATACCTTATTCAAAAACTTCTAAGCATTGGTTATCAGTGGGAATTCTTTCCCTTGAGAAAGTGCAGTATTTATAGTCTTACAAAGGTTATAGGTCCATTCAGAGGCCTTAGGAAGTGAGACCAGGTCATACAGTGAGTGCCCTGCAATCATCCTAGGCCAGATTGTAATTTTTTTGTGTGTGACAGATGATCTAGAAAAGGAAATAAGAAGAATGAGTTGCAGTGAGTGGTATATATGGTATACAGTTTATTCATTCATGTACGTATGCATTCATTCATTCAATTAGCATTTATTAAGCCCACACTACGAGCCAAGAACTGTGTTAGAAGCTGGGGATATGAAAACAAAAATGAAATAATTCCTGCTATAGAGCAACTTACATGTAGGGTGAGGTAGTATTATACCAATGAGTACACAAATAAGTTAAGACAAAATAAATATACAAAATAAATTAAATACAAAATAATTTTGAGTATTAAGGGGGTGGGGGGGGCACAACCAGATGCTAGTGCTTTCCCCTCCAATATTATGTTGTGTCAGTTTTGCATATGTCTTATATATGCTATTTCACTTTTGTTTTTGTATGTCCAGCGCTTAGCATACCGCCTGGCACATAGTAGGTGCTTAATAATTGCTCATTGATTTCTTTATTGATCAAGATAGGGTTATAGTACGAGGTGATATTTGAACTGAGCCTTGAAGAAAAATAGGTGTTCAAAGAGATGGACCCCCATCCTCTGTGAATTAAGACCTGCAAATGTTGGTTTCAAAAAGAACACTCTGTATCATCTCAACATTTTCTTTTCACTGCAAAGGCATATTCCGATTACATATCAGTCACAATGAGTCAATGCGAGGTTTGCTTCTGGGTTGCTTGACAGCTGGGCATGAGCAAAAAGTTGGAATTAGCCTGTATTTTCAAACCTCCCCCATTAATCTTGACTACTTGAACTTGGGTTAAATGATTGGGGAATATTGTATCCCAGTTTTCCGTTGATCAGCAGTATGACTTCTCATCTGTCAAGTAGGATGGCCATTTTGATCTGATGATCATCAGGGCTTTATAGGCAAAGGGGTTTACTTCCCTGCTCCCTCCCCCTTCCCCTTCACTGCCCCTTTCCTCCTCCTCCCCTGTCCCTAACCCCTTCCTGTCCCCACCCCTTACCCCAGGCTTCTGCCCAGATTTGTATTCTCATCATTTCTGCTTTCCGTGCTCAGAGTTTCAGGAGAGTCCAATTGTTTTGTCCCTAGGAGCAAAGCAGGGACTGCCTTAAACTGATAAGGACACAGTCCCATCACCCTAGGAACAATCATCCTAACTCAGAGTTATGAGCCTGGCTGCCTCAGAATCCAGCCAATGGAAATGACATCATTGTCAGCCAACTCTTTATGATGAGAAATGGGTTACATTAGGAAACAATCTGAACAGGGGAAACTTTGGCGATCCATCATTGCAATTATAATGGGCTGGACGCTTTATGCAAATTCAGGCCTTCAGAGAGGCTCAGCTCCCAGCAGGGCAATCGGGAAGGAGAAATGTTCTTGGGAAAGAACATTAGTGCAATATAATTAAGCAAAGGGGGAAAGCTTCAGAGGATGTATATTCTTCAGGGACCTGGACTGAGCCTGAGACAAAAGGATTGCATCACCATCATTAAGAGCATTTATTAAGTGTTCATGGCTGCTTCACGGCACTGGCTCATATCAAGCTAGTTAAAACAATGTCTCAGATCCTTTCCTCTGGGATTTTATAACCTTCTGTGTGTACTCCACCACTACGGTGGAGTCTGTCTGGCTATCACAAGCTGAGTAACCACAATAGCTGGCATTTGTATAACACTTTAAGGTTTGCAAAGTGATTTACATATATTATCTTGTTTGATTCTCACAACAACCCTCAGAGATAGGTGCTAGTATTACCCCATTTTACAGATGAGAAAATTAAGGCACACAGAGTTTGAGTGGCATACTCAGGGTGACACAGCCAGTAACTATCTGAAACAAGATTTGAACTGAGTGAGATTTTCCTCAGGTTCAACACTATACTCACCTACTTGCTAAGCTCAGGCTTGTCTCCTTTGCTGAAGCCACTTATAATCCAGATGAGAGCTGGAACCAGCAAATCACCTTAAGGGAAAAAAAGATAAATTTAAATGAGTGGAGGGGGAGAGCAGAGAGAGGATTTGGACCTTAGGACACAAGGCCCCATGGACTCCAGCATACTGTCACTTCCTACTCCCACCCTGAGTAGATACCCAGGGTACCCTACAACTAGAGATGCAGCTTCAAGGGGAGGCAGTGAGGGGAGACTGACTGAAAGAGGTGCTTTCCTAAGGTGTGGATCCTAGGGGTGGGTGAATACAGAAGTATGTCATTTGGTAGCTTTGTATTTTATTAATTATCCATACAAGTCTGAATATGTCACAACTTTCCCCCACCTCCCCCCCTCCCCCTCCAATCTAGGATCAAATACAAAATTCTCCATTTGGCATTCAAAACCTGTCATAACTTGACCCTTTTCTATCTTTCTAGTCTTCCTACACCTTACTCCCTTCAAGTACGCTGAGATCTACATGACACTAGCCGACTTGTTGTTCCTAGGATAAGACACACATCTCCTGACTCTGAGCGTTTTTTCTGCCTGTCCCCCATATAAGCAACTCTCTCCCTTCTCATCTCTGCCTCCTGGTTCCTCTGGCTTTCTTCAAGTCTCAGCTAAAATTCTACCTTCTCTCAAGAAGCCTTTCCAGAACCCCTTTCGTGCTAGTACCTTCCCTCAGTTGTCTCCAATTTGTCCTGAGTATATCTTGTTTGCACAAAATTATTGACGTAATTGTCTCCCCAATTAGACTGTGAGCTCAAGTACAGGTGCTGTCTTTTGTCTTTTTTTAAAAATCCTCAGTGCCTGGTACATAGTAGATACTAAACAAATGCTTTTCAGATTTATGGTAACTTGATATTAAAACAAGTTATTTTTTTTCTTAAAGGAGTAAAAATACTATTAGTAACCCTCTAAATTTTGGCATCTTGGTTTAAAGTCCAATTGCCCCACCCTAGTTATAACTCTGGCAAGCTATCTGATAAAAGAAATAAGAAAGCCCTTAAATGATCTCTTTCTATTCTTTCCCTATTCTCCAGGTTTTAGGACTCTCCAATCCCACTATTACCAACTAAACATACTCCTCTGTGGGAATGACCGTTATCTATTGACACTAAGGATATCCTCCTTTCTTCCTCAATGAGTTCCATGCCTGGCTCACTTTGTCATTCCTCATCAACTCCTACTCTCATAATAGAGAACTTCAGCATACACATTGATGCTCCCTCAAATACTCTAACTTCCCAGGTCTTCAATCTACCCAGTTCCTATGACTTCATCTTCTCCTCTCAGCTATATACAGGGAGAATCATACCATCGATTTTCCCATTACTCAGAAGTAGTCCACTTCTATGTTCCTGAACCCCCAAATTCCTTTATCTGATCATAACCTTTTTTCATTCTATCTTTCCATATACTTTTTAATAACAATTGTTGTTCAGTCATGTCTGGCTCTTCATGACCCCATTTGGAGTTTTCTTGGCAGAGATACTGGAATGACTTGTCATTTTCTTTTCCAGCTTGTTTGACAGATGAGAAACTGAGGCAAATGGGGTTAAGTGAGTTGGCCAGGGTCACTTAGCTAGTAAGTGTCTGAGGCCAAATTTGAATTCAAGAAGACCAGTCTTCTTGATTTCAGACCTGGCATTCTATCGATAATAGCCTATGTAATTATCTCATTTCATTCTCACAATAACCCTAGGAGGGAAATGCTATTTTTATCCTCATGTTAAAATGCGGAAAGTAAGGCAAGCAGAGGTTAAGTGATTTGCCCAGGGTCACATAGTTATTAAGTGTCTAAGGCTGGATTTGAACTCACGTTTTACTGATTCCAAGTCCAGGACTTTTCCTCACTATATCATGTAGCCTTAACCCTGTTCTTTGTTCTTACTGTGATAGATTGTCACATAGTAAGCACACAGTAGACACTTAATAAATGCTTGCTGATTGATTTAAAGTCATCCATAACCTAGCTTCGGCCCACCTTCCTAAGCTTATTGCACATTACCTTCCTGTAGGTACTCTTTGGTTCAGCCAAACTGTCCTTGCAGTTCCGCCATCTTTTATCTCTGTGCCTTGTTATAGGTTGTTCCCCATTTTTGGAATGTACTTTTTGCTTACCTCCACTTCTCAGAATTCTTAACTTCCTTCAAAATTCACCTTAAGTGCTCCCTCCTTCATGAAGCCCTCCCCTCATCTGAAGAATTAGAGACCAGATCCATGATGTCATTGACATAGGGAACTCCCTCTGCCAATACAAGTCAACATCTTCTTTGCAACTTATGACCTCATAGAATTGCCTAGGTCACTTAAGTGACATACTCAGAGTCCTGTAGCCAGTAAGGTAGTGGGTACCTGAGATGTGACTTGAAACCAGGGCTTCCTCACTCTGAGGCCAGCTTTCTATTCAACTATTCCATGATGCTTTTTTGTTTGTTTGTTTTTTAACATTCGTTTTTATTTAGCATTTATTTTTTTAAAAATTGAGTTCCAAATTCTCTCTCTCCCTCTCTACTCTTTGAGAAGGCAAGCAATATGATATCAATTATACATGTAAAATCTTGCAAAACAAATTTCAATATTAGCCATGTTGGGAAAAAAAACCCAATAAAAAGCAAGAAACATAAAGAAAGTGAAAAAAGTATGCTTTAATCTGTACTCAGACTTCACCAGTTGTCTTTCTGGTGGTTGATAGTATTTTTCATCCTGGGTCCTTTGGAATTGTCTTGCATCATTGTCCTGATCAGAATAGTTAAATCTTTCACAGTTGATCATCGTTACAATATCGCTGTTACTGTGTACAATGTTGTCCTCATTCTTCTCACTTTGGATCAGTTCATGTAAGTCTTCCCAGGTTTCTGTAAAGCCATCCTGCCTATTATTTCTTATAGCACAATAGTATTTTACAACACTCATATGCCACAATCAGACATTCTCCAAATGAGATGATGCCTCTTTGTAAAATGGGATTAATAACAGCACCTACTTTTTGTGAGCATCAAATAAGGCAGGATATGTATAAAACATTTCAGAAACCTTAAAGCATTCTATAAATGTGCTATTATTATTATTATTCTTATGCAATGTTTGACTTAAAATTTGTGCTACCAGCTTTCTCTTTATTTGTTCTTTAGGTGAGTCAGAAGAGGTAGACAAGAGGGAGGGATAAGGGAAAGAAGAAGGACTATACAACCATCTATATAATTACCAGGATTTCCTAGGTTCCCTTCTACTTGACTGGAAGGGTGTATTCTAGGAACCAAGTAATATAAATATATTTGATTTGACTCTTTTTTTTATAAGCTTGGCAGCCTTTGAGGGATTGGGGAGGGTGAGTGAGGTGACCACTATTGCTTTCACCTTCCAAATCCTTGAATTAGAGTTCTTGGAAGAATTTCTAAACCTGAAAACTGCTCTCTGAGGACCTGCTGAAGAGTGTTATTTGGTAGGGAGGAAAAAAAAACTAGCAGGAGAATTGAAGGTTACTAGAGAGGAAGAGAGGGGTGGTGGTGAGCTATGCAAGCTTCTTCCGAGTGTGCCCTGCCAGTGTGGGTGAAGACATACTAGCGGTGGAGCCTGTCTTTAATAAGACAAGCCAAAGGACTTAAGGGGGGAGGAGGTAGGAGGGCTTGGGGATGTTCATTTCAGGGCAAGGTGGCATTCCTGAGACAGCTCCTCTGGGCAATAGCTTCTCTATATTTTGGAATCATGAGGTCAAAGAATCAGGGCTGGAAGGGACCTCAGCTCTTTGGCCACCAACCTCATGTTCTTTCCTTCTGAAACTTGGACTCTTTTTTGGGTCCCCCAGCTAGAATAGGTGAGCTTTTGTTTTTGCCAGGGCCCAGATCTCAATACCATTCCCTGTACCATTCCCTGGTTGTCTCCTTACAGCGTAGTAAGCACATGGACCCTGTCTGCTTTCTCACACCCTTTTATTTATTTTCCACTTTCATTAGAATTCAAAGCCATGACTGTCTTGCTTTTTTGTATTTGTATCCCCAACACTTAAACCAGTGCCTGGCATATAATAAATTCTCTGTCTCTCTCTGTCTCTGTCTCTCTGTCTGTCTCTCTGTTTTTCTTTGTCTCATTCTCTGTCTCTGTCTCTCTCCTCCTTCCCATTCTTTTCTTTTATAGGTGAGAAAATAGATCCAGGAAAGGTAAGTGACTTACCCAGAGACACTGAGATAGTAAATGTCAGAGATAAGATTTGAACCCAGGTTCTGGCTTCATTATCTGTGATATTTCCATTGAACTATGGTGTGTAGACTTTGGTGGGCCCTTGATTTATCGAACTTTTGGTTTCTTCTCTATTTATTACTTTGTGATTTATTCAATGGTGGACAGATGCTCTAATTCAGAGAAGTGGCATGAGAGTTAGGATTTCTGCTTGTATTTTTTAGAGGCACTTATGAAAAACTATGTGCACAGAACTAGCATAATTACATAATGATGGAGTTGAAATGAGCCTCAAACCTTTCTCTTCCACCCATCTCTCTGCCTCCAAACATAAAAACCCTTAAACTAGGCCAGTATCTTGGAAGAAAATTAGATCATGAGACTCTACACAGTCTCATTGCCCTTCACAAATTCCCCAGTGGGGCAGAAACCAGATTCAAAAGTAAATGTAATTATTTAACAATATAAATAAAAGATATAATACGACATTGATAATGTTAATTTGTGATTTTCTAAGTCAACATGCAGTCTACAGGAATAGTTACTATTTGAGTTTGACACCATTGCTCTCTAACACCAGGACCAATCTACCAAGAAGCAATTGTAGAGTGCTGATTGAGAATCACTGACTGATTGGCACTGGGGATATGGAGACAGAAAGGAAACATTTCCTGCCCTCAAAGGGCTTACATTCAACTGGAGGAAACCACACACACACACACACACACACACACACACACACACACCATAAAAAGTAAAAGTAATTTGGAGGGGGGACACTAGCAGCTGGAGTTTCAAGAAAGGCCACATGAACAGCAACATTCATTTATTCATTCATTCATTCCACCAC